TGAGGAAGCTGGAGGCACGGTGGCCCGGGGGCGTGCGGGTGGCTTTGCCCCTGGGCCGGCACCGCCCGCGCTCTGCTTCGGCCAGAGGCCGCCGTGGGGTGCTGCGAGGGTCCGGGCCAGGCCTCTTCTCATGCCCGCGGGGTCTGTGTTGCTTTGAGCCCCTTTGGTGTGTTGCCGCTCTAAGCAGTCTGTTTTGGGAAACAGGATGGCCACTCTCTTCAGTGTTATCCTCCCGCTCTGAGGGACACCCTGGGGCCACCCTTAGTGGCTGGGGGGGGGCTCCCGGGGTGCCTCACTCCAAAACAGTGTTTCCCTTTGGGTGCCATGCCACACACTGCTTGCTGAAGTCCGGGCTTCTTGTTTCTACTCGTGCACATCCAGTCTGGCTCAGGTATCTGCTTGCGCTGCTGTGTCCCTGGCAGTCCTGATTCGGCCTATGCAGACAGCAAACTCTCTTTTTCCATTCGATATGTATGACAGCCAAGGGATTTAGAAACCAAACAGGACAAAGGGATGGATTTACCCCCAAAGGACTGGGGGTAACCGTGGTGTCCTCTGAACTAGCACATCTGGGCTTGCACGTGTATACTTTGGTCGTATGATAGACAAATGACCATGCTGCCATTTGGCGCCGCTGTCCGTGTCATGGCTGCACTGGCACCCCAGGCAGAGGTGTCCTCAGGAGTCTCCCATCATGAGCCCTGTGCTCAGAAGGAGCTGCAAGTCTTCCCTCCTGAGTGAGCTTCCCTTATTTTTTTTTTTTCCTGCAGACAATGCACCTAAAGAAGAAGAAGAAAAATGAAAGAATGAATGAAACTAGTTTTCTACAGGCTGGCAGAAAGGTCATGATTGTTGGATGGTGGATTGGATTCGAAGAGATGGTGACTTGCCTTTCAGAAGGTACGGGTCTGCTCTGAGCGCGTGCCTTGGTTCGCCTGTGTCTGGGCAAGATGCTGGTGCTGAGTGCACAGGGTGTTCAAGGATGGTAGTGGTGAGGCTTGGAAATTGCAGGCAGCAATGCAAACTATAACAGAATAAAATGCAAAGAGATTGCAGCACTAGGAGAAAGTGGATAGCAAGAGCTTAATGGGAATTGGCAGAGCACGGGTTTTTTTCCCACTGGGCAGCCTAACCTGGGAGGCCCCAGTTGTGTGGTGCTGGGCACCCAAGGCCAGTGCTGTCCTATGCTAGCCCTGCCCTCTCAGCTGATTATTTCCATGCAAAATTCCCGTTGCTCTGAGCACGTTTTTTATGCCAAGGGCTCACAGATTTCCTTGTGGCCAAGGAGCGAACCACAAAGGCTTATGGAGGAAGCCAGTATGGGCAAGTCAGGCACTAGAAAAGGGGGCAGGTGAGGCCTCAGGGCTGGTTTTTGGTGTTCAGGAGGGGACCTTGAGGGAGGGAACTTTTCCTGCAGATGGGAATTATTTCAATTTCTCCAGCATATCAGCACCCTCCTACCCACCAGTCTGTTCTACCTGTCGCCTCGAGCCTTGCAGCCAGGCAGTGGCTGGCACCAGTGTAAAGCCAGCCGTCCAGCTCTGCTGTCTGCCAGGGTGCAGAGCAGCACAGGGCTGCTCTGTCACCCTCTGTCACGCCAAAGCTCAGCAAGGTGGGCACGCAGGTTCCAGCGGCTCTGCAAGGGCATCGGCTCCCATCGTGCGGGGACCTCGTTCCCTGGCACCTTCACTCCAATTTTAAGTGAGGTGCAACTCCTGCAGTGCCGTGTCCCATTGCTTGACATCTAGTAGAGGATGAAAAACGTGGTTGCGCGGTACTGGAACCTGATGGCCAGCCATAGAGAATGGTGAAAGAGATGTTGCAAAGGATGGACAAATCATTAGGAAGCCCTTCTATTACACTGCTTGCCTGTGTAATAGAAGCACAAACAACCCGGAGTTTACATGGACCTACCTTATTTGCATCGCAGTGCAATTAGAAACAAGCATTTTGAATAAAAGCCCCATCCTGCAGTTGGTCTTGCCCCCCAGATGCAAAAATTGCACTCTCGGATGTATGGTGCATGCCAGGAGGGGGTTTGAATCACACATCTGCATTTTCTAACAATGCTCTGCTCTTTCGTGGCTTAATTAGAATCTACTAACGTTTTAAAATCTTCAAGATGGGATAATTTGCACTCAGGGGCTTTAAAAGGTGTTGCTGAAAAATTCTGTGGCTCTCATTTTAATATTCCTGAAAAACAGGAAATTCTGGGGAATAAGGAGTATCCCGAATCAAATGGCATAAGTGAGTATGGTTAATCTGACACTGGTCTTGGACTAACTTGCAGAAAGGCCAATGTGAATTACCTGTCAATATACATTTAAAGGATAAAAAGATGATCAGGAATATTCGATGGTGGTTTCTCAACAGAAATAAAAGGGCTGTCTGCTGTAGCTGGAGTTGGAAGGTTCACTTTGAACTCACCTCCATGTTGGTGATGCCTATCTCACTGGAGTCCACCTGGCTGCAGATGGTGCAAGAGGTTGCGGATAGCTCTGGGCTGCTGTTGCTTTAGCATTTCCTTTGCACTGCTTGGCAGAGTAGGGGAATTTCTGATACACTCTGCCCCTTCTCTTGAACACTGCACAGCAACCTACGGCTCATTGACTTCTCTTGCCCCCTTGCCAGCAGGACCCTCTGTAGCACAACGCTTCTTACAAAGCTTGCCTATGGGCACCCCATGTACCCGCTGCAAGCACCAACGGCTGAAGGCTTTTTGCTCTCACTAAAACAGAGGGCTTCCCTCTCCTAGCACTTTGGGCAATCCCCAGACATAAAGGGCCATGTGTCCTCTGCATCCTGTGGTCCCCTTAACAACCTAGGCTAGAGAAAGGGCACTCTGCTTTGAACTGACTTGGAGCTAATGTTGGTTCTTGCTTTGTAATTACTGCTTCATCTGCTTGGTTTGTTTCTTTTTATTTTCACTGGCTCCTTCCCTCCCTTTTTTGTCAAGATCTGCCTTACAGGCACTGGCTCGGCCTTCAACTGTGTGATGTTGCCCCATCCAGCTCCCCTCTCGCCAAGTCAGTGTTCACCTGGAGCAGTAATGTATTTGTTGGTGCATCAAGCTAAGCATCATCTCATCTTCATTCTTCTCATGATGATATTGCTAAAAGTATGCCTGACGTTGCTTTGCTTCATACGGGCGCAGCAGTGCTGCTGATGCATGGCACGCCTCCCTTGCCATAGCGGGAGACACGTCGCTGGGGCACGCGCTGTCTAGTGAGCCATCGGGCCAGGAGCGGGCAGAGTGTCTGTCTCCAGGCCTGTGTCTTTGAGCAGACCCTTAGCTCAGTCCTATTCGGGCTCATTTGGGTCCGTTTGCCATTCCTGGAATAACCCTCCACCTCTTCAGCTGGGCTGGTAAGCCAAGAGATCCGAACAGGACACGAACCGCTGCGCCAACAGAATTATTTGCTACCTTTGCTCTGTGGCAATAGCTCTGAATCTCTCTTTAATTGTTGCACCCTGAACTGTCTTTGACCCTTTACAGGAAGCTCCCTTCACCTTCTGCAAGGGTGGTGGCAGCTAGTGGGGTGACAATGGGTGGTACCTCCCAGTACCAGGAAGAAGTGATGGTACCTCCTGCTTGCTGCAGTGCCATGTCCTGCTGTGCGTTCCACAAGCAGTGCTAACACTAGCACTGAGTCTTGTCACTGCACTTGTCCCGTGTTGGATATCCCAGTTTTGGAGATTGGGCCTCTCTGGGAAGATGTAGTCGTGACCGAGGAGCTGCCCTCCAAAGCCATGGAGGGTTTTTGACTTAGGACAGACAGGGTGTTAATTCCTGCAGGGCTTGATGGTCTCCCTGGGTTTATTGGGGCTTTTTCTTTGACTCCAAAGAAAGAGGTCTCTGTGTTGCTCCATTCATGCTGAACAGACAGTTCATTTAGGTGTCAATTCAAAGGTTGTGGGTAGAGCTAATACCTTTTATTTGACCAACTGGTATAGTTTGAAAAAGAGGAGAAACCGTAGGGCAAATGAGTCCTTCATGACATTCCCCTGAAAGCCCATCTGTTTGTCTTCCCCATCCTCCTCCCTAGGCAGAGACATCTTGGCCTATGATAAGGCCACCCCACACCAGGCAATCCCTTTGACAAGAGTCAGCCCCTTGGTACCTGACAGGCAAAAACGCAAATGGGAACCTCATGTCCTGAGGAAGGCTGGTGTTCTCAGATGCTTGTCTACTTTTCCCAGCTCTTCTAGGCAGTGCAATAAAAGGTGCTGGCCTGCAAACCTTGTCTACAAACAATAAGGTTTCCTCTGCATTGGAAAGAGGATTTCATGGCCTGAGCTTTCAGGTTGCTTTGACCAGGACCTTCCCTGGGCAATACCTACATATCACAGTGAGCTCACAGGGGAGTCAGGCCTGGCCTTTTTTCTCCCCATATACTCCACAAGGCTTTTCTCCAGAAGCCGTCTTTGATTCCTGCCCAATGCTGTATCTGAATTTCCCTTAAGGTAGGAGATTAATCTCACAGTGTTTTTTTTCTACTGAGGTACTACTTCGTGGGCACTCTACTTTTATGTGCAGAGGACTATGCTCTAACAGTTGCCATTGCTTTTGTTCTCGCAGCCCGAAAACTCAACAAATCCAGTGATCTGTACTGAGAAACTGGACAGCTGGATAACAAGTGGTGTCCCAACGTGCTAGGAAGAGGGATCCGCCCCTTATGACCAGCACATACTCCAGCTCCAGTAGCTCCAGCTACTTCTCTAATCTCTCCGAAGGCTTGCTCCATCCCTCACATCTGCACAATGAGTGCCTGGAGCGCTGCTGTGTGCTCCTCGTAAGGAAATAAAGTGCCGCACAGGCATGCAGGAAGGATGCTGTGTTTGGCAGTGGCTCTCTTGTTGCTTGAGTTTGAGACTCACCTCCATGTAGGATGGAGAAGTGTGAAGCACTGATGCTTAGAGTCACTTCTGGTGAGACTGAGCAGTGCAGATAAGCAGTGGGAGAGGTAAGGGAAGCTCTAGCTCTTAACTGGAGGTCCCTGAGATGTGCAGCTGATATACCGCCTCTGCTGCCTGCCTTCACCTGTCCATCAGGGTCCTGTTGACCTGAGAGAAGTCTTGGATTGGAAAGACACCACTGAATGACCAGGATGTGGAATCACTGGGATAAGGTGTCTGGGCAGAGAGGAGAAATACTGTCCGTGGGAACTGAGGGAAGACCTGGGAGCTTGTGCAAGAGGAGACAGGGCAAAGTAAGTGGAGCTGAGGTTATAGTGGGCAGGCAGAAAGATACACTGGGTGAATCAAGATTGGGGTGACCAATGATGCCCAGAAAGCAGGCGAGAAGCCCGATGGGGAGGGAGAGGACTGGAGGAAGAGACGATGTTGGGAATCCCTGGCTATGCTCCAGCCACGTTCCTCGGGCAGAGGACAGTGAGGCATGGCAATATCTCAGGCTGCAGGGGGGGAAGATGGTGTGAGGCTCAAGAACGAGGCACGCTGAAGGCAGAGCTGGGCCTGTCCCTGCTTCTGAACTTCTACGAGGTCGCCAAACCGAACATCCCAGGTCCTTTACTTCTGTGCTCCAGATCTGAGATCCCAGGAACTGGCTTACAGAGGTGCCAAGCACTCGTAATTGTAATTGGAGACAAAAAGAGAGCGTTCTTTGAACACAGCACATGCTGTTTCTGACAACATGAGCCTGGAAACACTGAAAACAGGTCCTGGGGACTGTGCATGAGTGTCTGCCATCTCCTCTAGGGAGCCAGACGCTGGAGTCCGGGCCATATATCCTCTTAGCAGGAAGTGGATGTCGACATCTGGCCACAAAAATTGCAACCCAGACTTCTTGGAGCAGTTCTCCAGCAGCTGACCCTTAAATATGACCTTCCCTACCTGAGCCCCCTCTCCATAACATGAGGGTGATAACAGCCATGCTTCTTACAGGCAGGTTGTAAGGACCTGCTATTGATATTTGGGTGACACTCACATATGCCCAGGATGAACGCTATGGACAAGCCCCCTGTGGAGACTCAGGACTGTCCTTGGGTTTGGGTAGGATGTGAGAAGCCAGGTGAAGGTCACACCTTGAGCAGAGAGAGCGGAAGAGGGGAGCTGTTTAAGTCTGCCAACAAGAGGGGAATGGTCTGGTAAAATAGCATGAATTAAGCCAGACCTCCATCTCCCCTTGCAGATGACAGAGGGCCACATTGAAAGGGTCCAGACTGCATTTCCTGACTTCTCACTTCTTGTCTTTGCAGCTCTTTCTTTTAATTAAGGTTTCTGTTGTATGTGTAACAAAAGACTATGACCTCTGCATTAGCTGCATTTAAAAGAAGGCCTCTTTTGTAGCACTGCGCATGAGTATCCACGTGCTGCAGCCACCTACAATGAGAAACTCTGTCTGAAATGCCTTCCCTCATCCTGCCCATCGCTGCAAAACTTTCCCTTAGGGCAACCCTCGGGACCTCGGGGAAATTTTTGGCACTGTGGCTTTTCCACCTCAGCCCATTTCTGGGCTCACAGCAAAGCGGCTGTCAGGAGGGGACCTAGCCTTCTGTTTTTCCCACACATGGAGGGTCCAGCACTCAGCCCAGTGATACGTGCTGCCCTCTCCAGCGCTGCCATCACAGGGCCATTCTGTGTCCCAGCATATTTCTGGGAGTGACGAGCCATGGATGGGAGGAGCAGTGTGATGGCCAGGAGGAACTCGTGAGGGGGTTATGGCAACTTACCCCTCTCCTCCCTGGATGGCTGGGGGCAGACAGGCACTTGTCACCTCTGGGGAGAACAGGACATGACGCTGTGGTATGACCCAATTGACTGGCCCTCTAGACTGCCCCGAGCACAGGGACAAGCTGTTCCTGGGCTGTTCCATCCCGGGTGACTGTTCAAAGCCGGCAGCTCCCCTCCAACGTGCTTCCCATTGCCTGTCATGGGACGCTGGAAGAGAAGTGGTTTGCTGCCACCACAAGCTGTCACGGGAGCCGTGCGGGTCCTGGCTACCCTGTCTCCATGGGAATGGCCTTGCTGCGGGTGTGAGGGTCCTGGCTACACCATCTCCATGGAAATCTCTTGCTCAGGTTGTGCTGCGCTGGATACGGCATCTCCATGGAAACCCTCCCGCTCAGGCTGTGCAGGCTCGGGAGATGCCATCTCCACGGAAACGCAGCTCTGGCAGCTGTGCGGGCCAGGACCGGGGGCATCGTGGCAGGCTGCCCAGGGCAGGGCCGGGGAGGGGGCGGCAGGGGTGCTGTGCAGTAGGTACATGGGGCCACGGAGGTGAGGGAGGCGCGCCAGGCCCACCGTCACGGCCAAACAGCAGCCTGCGAGAGGAGAGCACGGGCAGCCGTGAGGGAGCGGGGGTTACCTGGTCTCCCCGTCCCCATAGCCGAACACACGTGCTCTGCCCACAAACCCTGGGGCTGGGGTGCCTGGAGGCACAGGGGACTGGGTGGCCTGAAGCGCAGCCGAGGGACCAAGCAGAGGGGAACAGGCAGGGACGGGCGGTGGGCGGTTCTCAGCAGAGCCTCAGAGACATCCAGGGCACAGGGGCAGGAGAGGCAAGGCAATTAGGGAAAGTTCTCTTGTGCCATTTCAAAACCCTTCACTGCTTAAAATACAAAGCAAAAAAATCTCCCTCTCCATCCATCGCTCTGCGTGCTGCGCCCAGCAGATCTGTTTGCCTCCATGGGGCTTTGCGGGGGCCTTCCCTCCTGTCCTTCACCAGCCACCAGCCAGACCTGTCCTGAGGAAAGCCATTTCCTAAGCCGCGGTGGACAAAGGGATTCAGTGGGGAAAAAACCCCAGTGCCAGGGAGCCAGCAGTGCAGGGACCCCACAGTGGCCGCGGGGACCCCTGAGGGCCAGAGGGAACCCTGGCGCGCGCCCTCACTCCCACAGAATGGGATGCTTGAGCGCCTTCCCCTACGGCTGAGATTTTGCCCTCGCATATAGCTCAGAGAAAATATTTTAGAGGTTATTTATAGCCTATGTTAAAAAAAAAAAAAACTGTGGATTTTAAATCTGCCTTTTAATTTCATTCAGCTCCTGCCGGTCTCCTGGGACAGCCCAAGCGGGAGCGCAGCTGCACCGCCCTGGTTCCCCGCTCCCTGGCCGGCTGGAGCAGCCCTGCACTTTGGGCCAGGGCCCTCCCCTGCTGGCCGGCTCCACCGCATTTCTGCCCCCCCTTCCTGAGGCCTCGGGGCAGCCCGCTTCCGCCGTCCCTGTCCCCATCCCAGTGCTCAGCCCCACGGGCTCTCCCTGCTGCCGCAGCTCCAGGTTCCACGCTGGGGTGCCTGCGCCCGGCCGGATGCACCAGCCCTCCCGTAGCACTGCGGTGGTGGTCGAGGCTCTGCTGCCCAGGCTGGCGGCTCCCGGCTCCTGCTCGGCCGCCAAGCGAAGCTGGGATTAGCGAACGCTCCCTGCTGGCACAGGGAGCAGCTCGGCCGCCTTTGCCGAGGCTCTCCCCTCTGTGGGATTAGCGAACGCTCCCTGCTGGCACAGGGAGCAGCTCGGCCGCCTTTGCCGAGGCTCTCCGCTCTGTAAACCTGGCTTTGACGTAGCTCAGAAAGTAGGCCAGTAAGAGCAAACTGCAGCCGCTTGCAGCTCTCTCGAGGGACACTGTGCTTGTGCGTCTGGAGGCAGGCGTGTGCATTAATAGAGCTGCTTCTCTCCGGGGGCTACTGAATGCAAGAGGAGATGGCTGGAGGAGGAGGGTGTTTTTCTCTACTCACAGGAGCTCCTGTTACCTTCAAGGATCAAACCGGGAAAGTCCCTGCGGGGAGCCGGGCTCCGACCCAGAGCAGCAACTGGCCTGTGAGAGTGCTCTCCGGCCTGTTTCCTGCCCTGCGAGCAAAGGATGTCCCATGGCCTGAGAGCGCTGAGCAGCAGGCTGCTGCTGAGCCCAGCGTCTCACATCTCTTCTCGCCCCTTTCTCCTGCCCTTTCCTGCCGTCTCAGCAACTTCCAGCTGGGCATCTCCTTCATCCCTGTTTCCTGCAGTTGTTTGCAGATCTTGTTTTATCTTTTAATTAAAAAACAAACGCTAATGTGCCCGTGCCCTGCAATGTTATTTTTGTAGGGAAGTCAGAGGGACACATCTTGTCCTTGCAGTGGGAGCCTGGTGGCTCCATAGGAGTCTGCATCAGAGCAGGAGACCTGGCCCAAGAGCCCAGAGGGGATGGGACAGCCACACATGGTAGTATGGGGATGAGGCACAGGTCTGGGTGAGTGGCTTCAGCCACCTGGTATCGAGCAGCACCTGGAAGCCAGATTAGTGTTGTATCTGTCTGCTTCCAACACTGGGGTCCTGCTAGCTCTGGTCCCTTGGTGCTGTGCCCCAGAGTGTCTCCTGTCCCCTGTCTCCCAGGCAGTCCTTCAGTCCACGGGGTGGAAGTAGGCCACATGGGATACCAGCAAAGGTGCCCATCTTCCCCCACCCCCATGCAGCTCCTGATCCCAGATAATACCGGCCCCCAGGTAGTGGTCTCGCTGGGTGACTGACTGCCTGGGTCCAGGGGATGAGCTGCCCCTGTCTTGCCAAATGGACTTAGGGAAGAAATAGTCTCTCCATCACCCTTCACCGGATGTTGCGTCCTTCCCTCCACTCAGCTCAAGGAGAACAACCATCCACTGCCCAACAGGCTGTCCCATGTGCCCAAACAATGTCCTGCTCCTGGGAACGGCCTCTAAACATGTCTCCCGCTGAGACCCCTTAGCTAGAGCCACAGCAGGGAAGAGTTTGCGTAGTTTGACTTGGTTAGCACATGGCAACGCCCGCGTGCTGTATGCCGACCCTCCTTGGCAGGTCTAGTGAGTCCACTGCAGCTGGCTTCCTGCTGTAACTCATGCCCAGCTGCTCAGGTGGGTACTTTCAGCATGTATTTTTGAAGCGTTTCTGGGTACTGGAAGCAGCAGTTCAAGCCCAGCCTAGCTCAGCAGTGCCTTTGTAGAAACAAGCACATCGAGTGCTGCAGCTTGAAGCCATCCTCTCTCAACGCTCTCTGTGCATCCTCCATGCTCACACTGCAGGTTTCACCACCAAAAATTCAGCGTGAGGTAGCCTTCAAACCGAGGGGCAGCATGTGGCCAGGTCCAGACAGCTGCTTCAAGTCACGGCTCAGAAAAGCCTCAAATCCGCGTGCTTTGCAAAGTCCTCAGCCAAACTCAGACTCGGTGGCCTTGGTCCTCTGCAGGATCAGTGCGCCAGGAACATATTGCCCTGGTGCCTCACGGGAAGCATCCTTGCCCCTGCAGGGCAGATGCAGAGAGCCCAGCTGAGCGTGTAGCAGGGCCAGCACAGAGAACGGACCTTGCTTGTCTGTGCACACTTTCCTTGCAGTTGTGCAGGAACATGTGAGGCAAGGGGCACAGGCTGCAGAGGATGATCCTGCTAGGTGTAAGGAAATATTCTTCACTATGAGGCTGGTCAAACACTGGGACAGAGGCCAGAGAGATGGAGGATTCTTCATCCTTGGAGATAGGCACATGCTGGCTGGACACAGCCTCGAGGACCCTGCTCTGAGCCCAAAGTCAGCTCTGCTCTGAACAGGCTTTGGCCTCAAGGTTTCTTGCGGGGCCCTTCCCACCTGAGTCTTTGAGCTGAGGCTGCCTGCCCAACACAGAGCGGGTAGTGGTGGTCCGGGCCCCAAGACAGCCCATCATGCCCATTGCACCATCCTGCTAGTGCCAGGGCTAGGAATGAGGCAGCAGGTTGCTGCCAGGAGATCTGGCACTGTCAGTAGGGGAGCAGAGCCCTGCATTGGCACAGGACGGGCTGACCAGGGTGGATGTCAGTCCCCATCCTGCCAAGTGACCCCTGGGCCATGTGAGAGCCTAGCTGGGCCCCGAAGTGTCACCTGCTGTCACATTGCTGTTACGTAGCTACCAGTACCCCCATACAGCTGCATAGGTTGCGTGAGGGTGAGCTCCGTCCCACACCCAGATGGCCCCACTTACTGTTTTGGTGCCCCCCGAGGCCTGTTGGAGCTGTCTGGGCAGGCTGTGCAAATGGGAAAGGTCAGAGGACAGCAGGCCCAAAGGGACCCTGCAGGACCTACAGCCCTCCTGCCTGGGTGGCTGGAAAGCAGCACAGCCAGCTCCAGCACCAGAGTAAAACAGATGGTGAGGGAAAAACCAGCGCGCGGAGCGCTACCACTGCCACGCCGTGCCCAGGCCATGCTGCTTGGGCTGCTGGCACCAGCTGGGAGCCCCAGGGGCAGTCTATAGGGGTGCAGAGGGGGGCCCTGCACACAGCCGCACTGGGCACTGCCTTCCCTGGGCTGTGGGGCGCTTGGGCTTTTGCTTTAGCAAACAAGAACCTCCCCCCCCAATCCCTCTCCTCGGTGATGTCCCGTGGGGCTGGGAGCAAAGGTTTCCCACAGTGATTTGGCTGCCAGGGCAGGGGGATGCTGGGGTTTGAGCTGGGGCCACCAGCCCAGCACAAGATTCTTCAGTGTCAGAGCACGGAAATGACTTCGTTTTTCAGCCCTGGGTTAATTCATGCAACACAGTGGTGCCCCCCTGTTGCAAGTGGACATTATCAGGCAGCCCGAGTAGCGTGCAGGGCCAGCCAGGTCCCTGCAGCCCTGGCAAGGGCATGGCGTGGGCCATGGGAAGTGCCTAGCCCAGCATCCCGGGCAGACTTGACTCCCATACTAGTCCGTAGCAGCTCCATACTCCCCCGTGCCTGCATGCCGAGAGGAGGGGAGGATGCTGGTGAGCAGAGCGGAAGAGCCCTGCACGTTTGCAGCAGGAGGAACAGGGGAAGCAGTGGGGCCAAGGGTGTTACAGGGCTGGCAGCAGCTCTCCCCCCACATCCCCACCTTTGCAGGCACCTACCCCCTGGCCCCACAGCAGAGCCCAGCTGCAGAGAAGGGCCTCCGCCACAGCTCACTCAGCATAGCAGCTCCTTCCCTGAGTGCCCCAGGCATCTGGCCCGACTGCTTCTCCAGGCATGCTGTAGTGCCAGCACGGGAGGAGGCATCTCCCAGCATGAGGGATGTGTTTCCTGGGAACAGAAGCAGCTCTAGCTCCAGTTCAAGTCCCTCCTTTGCCTGAGACGGGGAGCATTTCTCCAGCTGGCCTGAACACAGCACACGTGGGAAGAGGGGAGAGGCCTGCAGGTCTCTCTGCCTGCTCCCGTTTCCACTGTCCCTCTCCAGCATGTCCCCTTGCTAGCGCAGTGGCCCCTGTGCTCAGGAGAGGGCTGCATGGAGTGGCCCAACCACTACCCTCTGAGGAGGGCAGAAGCTGCCAGTTAATGGCGGCTCAGGTGCAGCAGGGAGGTTGAGCTCTCACAGGAAGAGGCAGAGGTAGGCAGGAAGAGGGCAGGATGGCTGCTTCTGGGGCAGAGCCAGCTCCCAGCATGCGCAGAACAGCAGCATGACTTTAGAAAACACATCTAACCAGGTTTATTAGTGCTAGCCAGAAGTCACTTGTGAGCAGCAGGAGCAGCCTGAGGTATGGTACAACGTGGCCAGGCTCTGCTGAGGACAGGCTTAGCAGAGCAGGCACTAGGAAAGTAAATTGAGAAGAGATTAAAAAATTTATATATAAAACTAGGCTATGAAAGACAGAGAAACGAAGGGCAGGGCAAATCCGGCCCAGCACTTGTGGGACAGAGCACTTGTGTCTGCTCCACCTCCTTTATGCACTCCCACCCAAGCTGTACCTCATTGGCCTGACTAAGCCAGCTGTTCACATTGTACAAATACAATTTACCCATCCCACTCCGCCTGCCCCGCACAGGTCCCCGCGCGCGGGCAGGAGGGACCTGACCCAAAGAGAGACAGGAGCACACCTACAGTCCTGGCCCCAGGGCGCTGGCAGGGAAGCGACACAGAACGCACAGATGAGGCATTGTACTATGGAGCAAGTGTTAGTGAACTGTGGACATGACAGGGAGCTGCGCTGCAGCAGAGCAACAGCCCTGTCACTGCACCAGCCCCTCACCCTGCTCCCCAATCAGGCACATAGAGGAACAGAGCTATCGTGCTGTCCCGGGCAGTTGAGGGTGGCGGGAGGGTTGTTGTCTCTGCTTGGGCACAAGTTCTAGTGCTGCCTTGGCTCTGCTGCTGGCTGTTGTGGCCAGAGAGGGGACATTCTCAGCAGAGATGGGCTGGATGATGTGGCCTGCTCGGGTGACAATGCGCGGGGCAGTCAGCTTTTGGAAAGCCCTCTGCGTGTTCCACATGCTGCCCACAGGTGTCCGGATGCTCCGCTCAAACTGCTGGTGCTTCTCAAATGGGAAAGGCAGCTCGCTGACCTGCGGGGAGATAGCACAGCTTAGTTGAGACAGCTGCTTGGCCCAGTGCCCTGGGGGCTGCTTTCATGCCATGCTGGCAGGGATTCCCACTGGTCCACAACCAGCTCACACTGCGCTCCCAGTCTCCTGCCTTGCTGAGCACCTTTGCTCCAACTCCCTCTTCCCTGCTGCCCCAGCTCTGATCTCTAGCAGGGCCCAGGATGCTTGGCACAGCAGCAGGAGGAAGAAGTCATAGGAGCGGCCATGTGAATTTCTTCCCCATCTGTCCCCCTGTTGGCTTCCGTGTTGTCAAAGCTGAAAATTTGACATGGCCCTTCAACAGGAAAGGATTCATAAAGCTTTAGGGTTGGGCAACAGCAAGGTAGTGCCCAGACAGGGGGCCAGCCCAGGTGTTGGAGCCACAGTGCTCACAGCTGCTGCCCTCCGCAGCCATGTGCCACCCCACCTGATGTGCTGCTGCGTGGATGTTGCGCTGCTCACTCATGATGACATGGGGCAAATGCTGGTCTTTCCTGGGAGGTGCCGTGGGCGGCTTGAGCAGGAACCTGCCGGACAAGTGAAAAGATCAGGCCCTGGCACTGGGCTGAGACATTTTGCCACACCTCTCCCGCACTCACCCCTTCATTTTCTTTTTGCTGGGCCTCAGTCCCGTGCCTCCCCACTCGCCCCAGCCTGGCAGCACCAAGTTCACTGGCTGCGGCTTCCCAGCCTGCTCTGCCTTGCGTTTCTCCCGGCGGAAGTCAGCAACCACGTCGTCCCCTGCAAAGGCCTCTGTGATCACCCCTCTCTGGTCGATGCCACCCTCCTGCGGAGAGAGAGGTCAGTGCCCTGCAGCCAGCCCTGCTCCGGGCCCCAGCAGGACAGGCCAGGCCCACTCACCTCTTCCTCCACGGCCACAGGCAGGCTGGGGCACTGGATCTCCTGGGACTTTCCAGCCAGCACAGCCTGCAAGCTGATGATCCTCCTCTTCTTAGCCTTTCGTTTCTTGGCCTGTCTATCCTCAGCTCTGCCTTCTTGCTGCTGGTGCACTCTCTTCTCCGCTCCTGCGGCCACTGGTATTTCTTGCTCTTCTGCACACTCCTCTGAAGCAAAAGCCTCAACATCCTCCATCGTCTGCACGCGGCTCGGCTGCTCTAACAGTAAGACTTCCTGCTGCGCCGGGGAAGGCTGATCAATCCCCATGCTCACCTGCTCTTCAGGGCAGATGGGGTGGACGGAGATATCCTCTGGCAGCTCAGACACCATCTCTGCCTTATCAGCACCTACGGACGGAGGCAAATGGTGAGAAACGATCACCCCACGAACAGGGAAGGGGAGAGTAGGACAGCTGTGTGAAGACACAAGCCCCACAGCCCCCGCTTTGTTTCCTCAGCCCTGTGGCACACAAGGGCTCACATTACTCCAGGCTACAAGCTCCTCACCTTGCAGTTCAGGGCTCGCTGCCTGCTGTCGCCGTATGTGCCGTTTCTGCTCAAAGTCTTGTAGCAAGGCTTCTTCCTCCGACATCTCCTCCTCTGACATATCCTTGCTCTCTGCAACAGCAGGCTCTGTAACATCTCCAAGATCCTCCTGCACCTCAGGCTCCTTGGCTGGGCCGCTGGGCTTGCCCAACATCCAGGGATTAGCTCCGCTGGCGTCCATGGGGACAGTGGGGACAGACTCTGCCACAAGGTCCTCTGCAGGCACGTCGCCCGGCTCCTCCTCGGGCAGCTCCACCTGCACTTTCTGCATCAGCTCCTTGTTCTTGGCCAGCTGCTCCTGCATGGCTTTGCGGGCCTGCAAGGGGATCGAGATGTTTCCAACAGGCCAGAAACAACATGACTCCCCTTTCTGCCACCACTGGCATCTCACCCTTCCCCACCCTGTGCCTCACCTCCAGGTCATACTTAGCCATAATGGCCCTGGAGCGGGCCCATTTCCCTTTGTTCTGGTGCTTGAGGCTCATTCGCTCCTGGGGGAGAAGGGAGAAGTGTCAGAAAGAGCGTCCTCAGGGGCAGAGAGGTCCCAGAGGACGGGGGAGAGGAGCAAGAGCGGCACCTCCATCCTGAGTTGCTCCAGCTCTTCCAGCTTTGCCAAGGCAGCCTCGGGGTCCGCATTCCGCAGCAGCTCAAACTCCTTCAAGGCCTTGCGTCTCTTGCTCTTTTTCAGCACTCGATGGTACCTGCAGTGCAACGGCAAAGAGCCAGGGAGTGAGAACTCACGGTGCTGGGCAGGTGGCCCTGCACAAGCACACAGGCACCCTCTGAGGAAGGCGGCACTGTTCTGGGCAGGCAGCAGCACAGCTTCCCAGCCGTATTTCGACCTGCTGCTGGATGCGTTGCAGACCCCAGGGGCTGCTCTGCCTTCCTCCATGTCTCAGCAATCTCCCGTCACCAGACACGGCTAGCGCCAGCACCGAAGCCTCAGCCCTCCCAAAACACACAAAGCATAGCAAGAGCAAATCCCTACTTCTTGCTCTTGATCTTCTTCTCTCGACGAGCCTTGGCTTCGTAGTAGGACTGCAGGACCCGAGCCTTCTGCAGCTCTGCTCGCCGCTGCCGAGCCTGCCGGGGAGCACAGAGTGAGGTCAAGCTCCAAGGAAGAGGCCTCCAGGGACAGGGTGTGAAAGAAAGCACTGACCTCCTCCAAACTCATTGCTTGCAGCGAGGCTTTCTCCTGTGGCGTCAGTAGCGGGTCTGTGATGGGCTGCTGTGTTTTGTGTAGCAGCCCAAAGATCTCCTGCTCTAGGGGAGTCCGGGCCTGTTGGAGGGACAGAGCAGGCAGCAAGACCATGATGAGGGAAGGACTGCATGACCCAGCACCTACCCAACTCCCTCCATCCTTCCCGATGTCCCTGAGCAGGCCCCCGAGAGGGTACAGACAAGCAGGCTCCCCTCCTCCCTGGGGCTGCATTCACAGCCCTCCTCAGTCCCACACAACAGCCAGAGGGTGGCCAAGGTACCAGGCCACATGGAAGACAGCTCCTACCGCACTTTTTAAGTGGAAACAAGGGAACGGAGGGGCTAGTAGGTGCTAGAAGGGAAAGCAGGCGATGCCACGCCCAACTGAAACTGCAAGGGAGCTTTGGGCCTGAAAGGCAGCCTCTGGGCACCATGTGAAGGCAAGCGCTTGCTAGGTTGGGAGCTCAGTGAGGTTTACCTTCCACCTGGGCATCTGCATACCTAGGAAAGCTCTCCAGAGGGGAGAGAACCTCTCCTGCCAAATAGCACAAGCCGCAGGGGAACGCGCGTTCAAAGCCAAGAGTATCATTCTTTCACAGGGAAAACACTTACAAACAGATGTGCCGAATTTGCTAGACCAAAACCCCCCCTCTACCCTCAGCATCAGTGGTGAGGGCTACTCAGAGGGCATCTAGCTCAGTGGAGAAGTTAGGAAACATCAGATTCTGCCCCAGTCTCAGGCAGAAAAAGGCTAAAGAGAGAGGAAAGGGCTTTGCCCAGCAAGGCACAGAACAGGCTCTGCACCATGTGCTCACTTCCTGCCTAGCCTAGCCTCTTCCAGACAGCATTCACACATCTGCTCTGTGTGTGGAACGTGGAGAACTTCCCTTTTAATGCTCTCAAGCTCAGCATGCAGCTGCCCAGACCTGATTAGAGCCTCAGCTACAGGTCAGCCCTCCCTCAAACCTATGTGGCCCCATCCAGCAAAGACAGAAGTCAAGCTCCCCTTAGCAGACCGTTCAGAAAACCATGCGACAGCTATGTGCTGCCAGCAGACACCTGACAGCACCCACCTTCCAAGCCGAAACCACTTGCTCCAGGGGTGCAACTGCCACGAGCTCCTGCTTCATGGGAAAAGTCAGCTGCTCTGCTCGTCGGTTCTGCAAAACCACCTGCTGCCATTTGCCAACATCTTTAGAGGTCCTTACATAGGCTGCTTCTCTCACGACCTGTAGTAACAAGGGAAAGAAGGGAAAAGAATGAGTAGAGAGAAGAACCTGACCTGAAGAACAAGAAAATCCAGTCAGCATCAGAGCAGAGAGGCACTCATAGGCTCACCCTTATTGCCCCTTAAGGCCAGAGCTTCCTCCCTCACCACTCCCTCTGCTGCTTGCCTGTAGCCTGCACAGGCCCACTTACCCGTTCTGCCTCCTCTTTGCTAAGTGGTAGCTCCACCGCCTTTTTCTGCTTCACTTTGTTCAGCTCTTTCTTCACACTGCTCAGGGCAGATTTGGCCTTGATAGGCTGCAGCAGTTCAGACAGAACCAGCTTCTCCCCAGCACCTAGACAAAGTCCAGCATGTCAACACAGGTGCAGGACAGCTGAGCCAAGCATCACCACAGGCTGCAGCTGCATGTAGCCCACTGATCCAACACAGACATAGCAAACTCCCAGCCATCAACCCTGAGCCAACAAAGCAGTGACCCACTTTGACAGCAGGAGCTCTGCAGGCCCGCCTAAAGGGATCTCACCTTTGCAGCTGACATTGAACTCTGACACCTGCACACTTGCCTCTGTACGCTCTGCCAGCTTCCGCCTGCATGAGAAGGAAAGCAAATAAGTTAAAAAGCTACTCATGTACCCTCCAGGTGCTTCTCCTCCCCCATGCAACTATGATAGAGGCAAAGGAGCCCGTGCCAGCAGGAGAAGGAACCAACCCTTTCGCCTTCTTTCGGAGTACTCCCATGCAGCCATGCAAGCACAACGGCAAGGAAACACAGCGCGCGTTTAGGAGCCCCAAGGCCAAGCTGCAGAGAAGAGTCCCTCAGACGCTCAGAAACTCACCGCTTCTGTCCGGAGAGGGAGCTAACTGCCTCCAGGAGCTGCTGATGCCGCCGTTCGCCATCATCCTCCGCCCCCTGGCACACGGCAGACACAGTCACAAGGAGGCCAGCCCGGCAGAGTAGCGCCCTCGCGGGCGCTGAGCCGGACAGCAGGGATGCGCCCGCGGCCCCTGCCTGCCTTCCCGGAGCCCGGCGCTGCTCCCTAAGG